ACATATACATATATATATATATATATACATATAATTTTTTTAAACACCCTTTCCTTCACTATTGGTGTTAAAGTGTTTCATGTCAACCAATAAAAAAATTATATGGCAAAATCTGGCATTTGGTTGTTTAGGAAGAGGGGAACGTTTTAGGAGTGGCTCCGGTGAGCTAGACAAGCGAGCAAAAGACAGACAGCAAGTTTTCACACGTGAGAGATTAGAGACATTCAGTGTGTTTGGAGGCTATAGTTAGTATGTAGTGTTGTCGTTGTTTTGTGTGCCAGTTATACTGCTGAATGTCACAGTTGTGACTGTGCAAAAAGGCCACCAAAGACAAACTGCAGTGTAAGCCCTGTCTCCAGCTAGAAAATGGGAGGTGTGATACACCTCCTGGTGTCAGACATCTATGATGTAGGCCTGTGGTGGTCTCCCATGTCTTATAGTGGAGAGAAACAATTTTTTGGAGTTGCATAAATATTTTGTCTTTTTCTTATTTGATGAAGAACACCTGATGGTTCTGTAGATAGTTTTAAATGGTTATATAAAAACGCTTGAGACCTTGGCTGCATTTTTAGGTAGTACCATATAACTTAATTGTTTGCAAATCTTATGCACAATTTTAAAACATGTACAATTTCTATTTGCATTTAAAGTTATTAAAATGATTTGATAAACATGTTTGTGGCTTTTACAGAAAAAAACTAACTTTTTTCTGCCCAGATTTTATGTTTTTTGTCTGAATTTAAATGTGTTAATACAGTATGTCAAAATGAAAAAATAACTCCAATTTCAGATATTTGAGGTTTTGCTGAATATAATTATATCAAACAAAGCAAGCTGAACAGTTTTTAAGGATGGAATATAAAGGTCAAATCAAAAGTAGTCAAAAATTGTCAATTATACCCTAGACCCCACAGGGTTAAACCAAAGAAACAACTTTGCATCAAGTCTAAGTAGCCTGGAAAGAAAAGCGTCTGGACTTCTTTAAGTTGCTTGAAGATGTTTCACCTCTCATTTGAGAAGCTTCTTCAGTTCTAGGGTCAAATGGTGGAGAGTCCCAGATTTAAGCCCTGTGGGAGTAACGTACCGAGAGGGACAATGGACCGCCTAATGATCCTGTACCTAATCACGTGAGCCAAGGTTTTGAAAATGTGATTAGGAAGAGGATCAACCTGTGCTATGCTATGCTGGGTAAATAGGGCATAGCTCCCATTCATCACTTGGTCTGTCTAGACTCAATAGCACATTGGCTGACTCAATGGCTGCAGATTGTGACACTCTCAAAAAAGTCATTTCATTTCCTGAGGAAAAGTTTCCTAAATCTCAAAATCTCTATTTTTTTGCACTATTTGCTTGCTTATTATGCACAAGTCTACAGTTGTCTTCAGAGCTGTTGGCCACTGCTGTTTTTTGTTTATTTGTTTGTTTTAAATGACCTCTGATACAAAAAGCCACATCTCTGCTGTTCAACACTGAAGAAAGTTTTACTTTTACAAATGAGGCAAAATTGCAAAACCCTTCGCTGTATCCCTAATAAAATCTCTACAGCTTTGCTCTGCTTCACTTCAGCAGCATCAGGTAATTTTCAAATGTTTATTCATGGTTTTCTTCAGTTTTTGTTCTACTGCAGAATATTTTTAAGGTTATCTCCTATTAAAAGCCAGGACAGGAATATCTCCTTCATGCTTTTCTGTGTTTTGTCCTTGAATTAAATCGAAATCCAGTTAATTATAGAAATCAGTGACGATACCCCCAGCCCTAATAACCAAGTTAGATATCCCCAACAGAATTTGTTTCCCCTGCATCGGGAGCATTCTATGGGCTGTCCAAATCACAGATAAACAGTATCCCATAGTTGTTTTCTGCTTTTAAACCCATTTTGCACAGAGAGGCATTTTTTGAAAAATATACTGATAGCAATGTTGAATATAATTACACATAAAAAACAAACAACTACACATGGAATAATTACACCACAAACATGGTTTGTTTTTCTGTTATTTAAAAATAGGTAGAAGTTTTTTTATTGCAACATGTAACCTATGTCGGTTTACTTTTATTTGTTTAATTGTTTACAAAAGGTTGGAGGTGTCAAATAAACAGCAATGGAGTTGCAAAATATGGACGGGTGTGTTGATGTGTTCGTGCTTTTTTGGTGGGAAGCGGGCAAGGGTGGGGTTCTTGTAAAACAAAGGGGGGGCTAGGAAAAAGAAGTTTGGAAACAACTGTGCTAACTGATCCCAGCAACCACTTTGTCTGCAAGGATCAACAGAACCCTAAGGTACCTCTCAATAAAGTAACATACAGCTTACAGAGCGTTGTTGGAAGCTTTGACCACTGGCAACAACTTCAGAAGAGCCTCCTCTGAAGTAGAATATTTCTTCATGTCAAACACATCCAGATCTTTTTCTGATGACAGTAAAATGAAGACCAGAGCTGACCACTGAGCAGGAGACAGTTCAGTTGAGAGACTTCCTGAACTCAGGGACTGTTGGATCTCCTCCACTAGAGAACAATCATTCAGTTCATTCAGACAGTGGAACAAATTGATGCTTTTCTCTGCAGACAAGTTCTTACTGAGCTTCTTCTTGATGTACTGGACTGTTTCCTTATTGGTCTGTGTGCTACTTCCTGTCTGTGTCAGCAGGCCTCGTAGGAGAGTCTGATTGGTCTGCAGTGAAAGACCCAGGAGGAAGCGGAGGAACAAGTCCAGGTGTCCATTTGAACTAAGTAAGGCCTTGTCCACAGCACTCTGGTGGAGAGATTGAAGGTTTGGTTTGTTAAAGAATTTGTACTTTTTCAAGGTTGTTTGATCTTCCAGCAGGTTTACTCCAGAATTGATGAAGGTCAGATGGACATGAAGAGCAGCCAGAAACTCCTGAACACTCAGATGGATGAAGCAGAACACCTTGTCCTGGTACAGTCCTCTCTCCTCTTTAAAGATCTGTGTGAACACTCCTGAGTACACTGA